TTTGAAGGCGAGGCAAAATGTTCCAAATCCGGCCCCAACACGCCTAGCAAGTACCTTCAAGTGCGCGCCGCCTTCTCGCCGTGTCAATGTTCCTTATACTCTTTGACCACAGCTTTGGGCGCCTATCTCTCTAAAAAAATAATCTGGGTTAAAAGTCAGACGCACTTGCACATCGGGGCGAATTTCAATGGATCCGGGTCGTCCGACGCAGAAGCGACAAAGCGTGCCGACTGCGGCGGCGGAAATAGAAATTACCACCGGGACCTCTAGTGCACCGTCGACCACTGAATCTCAGCTGGTCGCGATGCTCTCCGAGTCTCGTCGTGAGGCGGAGTCGTTACGCCAGGAGCTCGTCGCTGTTCGCAAAAAGGCGGATGCGGACCACCGACGACTTCAGGCGCTTTCCATAAAATCTCCAGATCACCAAATCCGTATATTCCAGGAACGCCTTGCCCGCGCCGAAGCTGCGCTCGAAGAGGCCGAGACGCGGAGCCGTTTCGTTGAAAGGAACTGGCTACAGGTCGAGAGATATCTTACCGCCATGCAAAACCAGGCTGCTGACTCCCGAGCGGCCTTCTCGCGCCTCATGGATGATATCGACGGGCGTCTGGTGCTTCCGAGCGAATCACCCCCCGCCCGCCGGCGCGACATCCCGTTGAGGGAATTCATTTCGTCCAGCGGGCCCGGACATCGTTCTACGTCTAATTCACATCTTCACCATGACTCTTCATCTGCATCCTCGCACTCTCCGCGGAGTCAGGACTATATCCGCCCATTGCCATTGGTTACGCCCCGTCGTCGTCCCTCTTCCCCGTTACGGAGTCCTTCCGGTATCGAGGACGAGCGATGGCATGTAGATGAGCAGTCTGACAGATCGCCGCCGTATAAAAGGCGGCGAGGGTCGGGGCTAGGAGGAGAACCAGGAATGGGGTTCCGGCAACGGGTTCGTGGCGTTCATAATGTTGGAATCCACAGCTAACTCGTTGACTCAGTCCCCAGGCAGCTCCTCACCCCCTCTTCATCGTCGCGTGCGTCCTTCATCCCCAGGTACCCCTCCACCACTTCCTCGTATACACAACGCGGACCGAGAGCGCCACCCGTCGCGCGAACATATGCCCCCGCCGCCGGCGCTTCCGTCCACAGACTCCCATCGGCCATACCGCCCATCGGAGACCCTACGCACCTACGACGCGCGGAACCCCCCGCTCCAATTTATCCAGCACCGGCACCCGCCGGCGCCACCGCGTCCCCCCACGCCGCCCAGCCCACCGCGGGCACGAAACGCTGCAGACCCGCAGCACCAGTACCAGCATCGCTTCCACCTCAGCACCGGCTCGCACGGCCCACGACGCCCGGTGCGACCCGGTGCGTACGAGACGGTGGTGTTTGCGTTAGACTCCGACACATCGACGCAGGGCATAGGTGGTGATCAGGAGGGACGGCCACAGGGCCGGTAGTGTTTGTGTGTAGCTTCTGCTCTGGGAGCAGGAATATTAGATCTTTCCTGCATACTATTAATAACGGGTCTTGTACATGGGAACTTCGCAATGTAAGGTCGGCATGCGAGGCCATCTACTACAGAAGCTTGGCAATTCCAACCGTAAAGATGAGTACATGGTACAGAAAAATGTAAACTCCATTGAGTTGATTGGTCCCATCCGAAAGACTCTACTCGGGAGCCCCAATGAATAAATGAGTAAATGATAAATGTCTGACGGGGCAGTTGACCTCCGTCTTCCCTGTCCATTCCGATACGGTCTGTCGTTAGCAAGAATCAATGTAGCGGGACGATCTATCTTGGTCTACCAGGGCTTTCACACTCCAATGTCGGCTCGATATATTTAATATTCGAGTGGACAAGACAAAGAAAAAAAGGACTAAGCTCAATGCCCCAAGATATTTGAATCACTATCTTCCCCTGGAACCTTGAAGTCATGAAATAGGAATGATTCACCAGGGCTCATATACTCAGATAGATCTGGAACTCGATTTTACTTCCCACGTTTAGGCCAGAAAAAAAGACACCATGTCAGAAAAGTATGCCCAGGGCAGGTTTCGAACCTCTTCAACTGTCATCGTCGCAATTGGAGGGTGAGCTCCATTGATCAATAGGGGCTTTTGCATCGGTATTTCAACCCTCATGTATTTCTGCACTTTGGAGAGACAGAAAAAAATGATGAGATTGAAAAATACCCCGAGGAGGATTCAATCCTCCATTTCCCACTTGTGGAACGGCATCGATGATACCATGAGCCGGGTTTTCTTGTTCTAATTCTGGTTGCTAGTTTAGAGCAAGTCTTGCAACTGCGCAATGGATTAAATAAAATCCAGACACCATTGAGCAATGCCTTATAGAGGATTCGAATCTCCGTCTTCCCGTTCATGCAATTGATTCATGACATCTCGATGATTTAACTCGATGACAAAAAAGTACGGTATAACAGCATTTATAAAACAGCTATAGGTATTCACTCAATCTGCAATTACACCCAAGGGGTGACCTGAATACATATTTTAATGACTCCAAGATGGGGGGGGGAGGAATAGATGCCTGGAGATTTCACAACCTGGGGAGGATTTGAGCCTCCATCTTCCCTTTAACCAGGTCTTCCCAATAATTAAGGAGGGATGATCTGCCTCGATCCACTAGGGCTTTCTAACTTTCATTTGCTTCAAATGTACTTTGACTTTGGAGAAGGTATGGGGGAAAAATAACTCCGTGCGCAACCACGCTCCACGGAGGATTTGAACCTCGTCTTCGATTTCAACTTGACTCCGAAAGACAAGGAATGATACTCTCGTGTGCACTCTGGTTTTATTGCCAACATAACAAATGGGCAGACATGACAAAAAGGGCTTTCTAACTTTCATCCGAACTCGCGATTTATCACCGAGTTGGAGTAACGTACAAAAAAAAACATAACTTGCAGCAAGGATAATGCCCTAAGGAGGATTCGAACCTCCATTTTCCCTAGACACATTTGGGGGAGCATCAAGAATTAGGGATGATTTACATTGATCCACCAGGGCTTTATTGCACCTATTCGGCTTCTGGATTCAGGGCCAACTTTCGAGAGAATGGGGAATGAAAAGAATAGCAACCACAATAATACAAAAAAGGACATGAGCATCTGATGCCCTAGGGAGGATTCGAACCTCCATTTCCCTCTAAAATGGTGTACTTATCGATCACAATTTGAGGGTGATATACTTTGAGCGACCAGGGCTTTCTAACTCTCATTCGAGCTCTTGATGTATCACCGAGTTAGTGTGGGCTCAGCAACACCCCTCAAAAAAAGACAAATCCGTCCGACAGCATCTAAGTGCTGAGGAGGATTCGAACCTCCATCTTCCCTAGACTTTTATGGCAGCATCAAGAATTAGGGATGATCTACATTGATCCAGGCTTCAATGTAATTATTTCGGATTCTGGATTTATATGACTTTTGAGAGGGTGAGGGGATTTAAAGAAAGAAGGAAGCAGACTAAAATTTAAAAAGGGATCGCATCAGAATGTAATACTCTAGGGAGGATTCAAACCTCCACTTTCCTCTAAAATTGTAGTCTCTTATAAACAGACGATGCAACAATTTTTGAGCTCATACCTCGCTTTGTTATACTAAAATTTGGGTACCCGAGTCGACAATATACAGTCAATCTGGGGGCGACCTACATTTATCCACCACCTATTCGGATCCTGGGGTTGGAGTCTGGGACGGAGGAAGGAGGCATTAATATTTGAACCATCTTTAAAATTACACAAAACATGTAACATTTGGGAGTAGATCCACCTTGATCCACCAGGGCTTTATAAGTCTCGGAGGTCTTATCACCGAGTTGTGAGTGGCACCAAAAAAAAACAATAGACAGAACTACTTACGCCCTGAGATGGATTCGAGGCCCAGACACATGTCAGTTGCAACAACGCCATGAATTTGGGACAATCTACCGAGTGAAAGCACAAACAAAAAAAATGGGGTAAAACATGTCAGCTACCACCACCTATGCCCAGAGGAGGATTCGAACCTCTGTCTTTCCCAAGTCTTTCCTAGACTTTTCTGAATGGGGATCAAGAATGAGGGATGATCTACCTTGATCCACTAGGGCTTTACTGCACCTGTTCGGATTCTGGACCTACGACTGACTCTCGAGAGGTGAGGGAATGAAAAGGATGAAAAACCAAAAAAAAAAAAAAAAAGACACTGCCAGAGAGATAATGCCTAGGGAGGATTCGAACCTCCACGTTCCTCTAAAATGCGGGAACAAACAGCGCATACTTTGGGGTGATCTCCCTTGAATCTGATCCACCAGGGCTTTCTAACTCTGATTTAAGCTCTCGATGTATCACCGAGTTGGTGTGGGTTCAGTACACACCAAAAAAGAAAAGTACTAACAGGCCACGCCCTGAGGAGGATTCGAACCTCCATCTTCCCTAAAATCCTTGATCACCCGCAAGAATTAGGGCTGATCTACGTTGATCCACCAGGACTTCATTGCACCTATTCGGATTCTGGACTTACGACTGACTTTTGAGAGGGAGAGGGAACCAAAATAAAGTTTTTTAACAAAAAACACACAGACAGTCAGAAATAACACCCTAGGAAGGATTCGAACCTCCACCTTTCTCTAAACTTCGCTGCCAGGGCACAATCGAGGGTGACCTACTTTGATCCACCAGGGCTTTCCAACTCTCATCTTGATGTATCACCGAGTTGGAGTGGGTTCATTAACACTCCCCCTCAAAAAAAAAAAAGAAAAAGAAAAAGAAAAACAGAGAAACCTTTTCTACGCCGTGAGGGTTCGAACCTCCATCATCCCCCAGAGTCTTATGGTAGCCAGACGGCCAGTCTCAAGAACTAGGGATGATCTACATTGATCCACCAGGGCTCCATTACACCGATTCAGATTCTGGATTTATGGCCGACTTCCGAGAGTGTGAGGGAATGGAAAGATGGAAACCAAAAGCAATTAAACAAAAAAGGCAAAGCATTCGACTGGAATGCCCTAGGGAGGATTCGAACCTCCATCTGCCCCAGACTTTGTGTGCGGAATGGGCGTAAGAATCAGGGCTGATCTACGTTGATCCACCAGGGCTTTCACAATCTTATCTGAGCTCTGGATGTATCACCGAGTTGGTGTGGGTTCAGTACACGCCAAAAAAAAAAAGCAACTGGTACAACAAACTATACCTTGAGGAGGATTCAAACCTCCATTTTCCCTAGACACATTTGGGGGAGCATCGAGAATTAGGGATGATCTGCATGGATCCACCAGAGCTTTATTGCACCCATTCGGATTCTGGATTCATGGCCGACTTTAGAGAGTGTGAGGGAATGGAAAGATGGAAACCAAAAAGGCAAAGCATTCCAATGTAATGCCCCAGGGAGGATTGGAACCTCCGTCTTCCCTAGACTTCTGTGGAACGGGATCAAGAATTAGGGATGATCTACCTTGATCCACCAGGACTTCACTAAACCTATTCGGACTCCACTCTATGATTGACTTTTGAGAGGGAGAGGGAACCAAAATGAAGTTTGAAAAAAACACAGACCATCAGAGATAGTGCCCTAGGGAGGATTTGAACCTCCACCTTCCTCTAAAATTGCACAAGATTTCCAGTGGACAATTTGGGGGTGATCTACCTTGATCCACCAGGGCGTTCTAATCCTCATTCGAGCTCGCTATGTATTACTGGGTTGGAGTGGGTGCAGTAACACAGTGAAAAAAGGTCGAGCGACAAAGCTACGCCCAGAGAAGGATTTGAACCTCCGTCGGATCCACCAGGGCTTTATTACAGCAATTCGGATTCTGGACTTATGACCGACTCTCGAGAGGATGGGGAATGGAAAGATGGAAACCAAAAGTAATTAAACCAAAAAGGCAAAGGATTCAAATGGAATGCCCTAGGGAGGATTCAAACCTCCGTCTTCCCTAGACTTTTGTGGCAAATGTCGTCAAGAATGAGGGATGATCTACATTAATATTGATCCACCAGAGCTTCATTGCACCTATTCAGACTATGGACTTATGGCCGACTTTCGAGACGCTGAGGGAATGGAAAGATGGAAACCAAAAGCAATTAAACCAAAAAGGCAAAGCATTCGAATGGGAATGCCCTAGGGAGGATTTGAACCTCTGTCTTCCCTAGACTTTTCTGAATGGGGATCAAGAATGAGGGATGATCTACCTTGATCCACCAGGGCTTTACTGCACCTGTTCGGATTCTGGACTTACGACTGACTTTCGAGAGGGTGAAGGAATGCAAAGGATGAAAAACCAAAATAAAGTAAAAAAAGACACTGCCAGAGAGATAATGCCTAGGGAGGATTCGAACCTCCACCTTCCTCTAAAATGCGGGAACAAACAGCGCATAATTTGGGGGTGATCTACCTCGATCGACCAGGGCTTTTTAGCTTCATCCGAACTCGCGATTTATCACCGAGTTGGAGTAACGTACAAAAAAAAAACATAACTGCAGCAAACTACGCCCTGAGGAGGATTCGAACCTCCATCTCCCCTAGAGCTATATATATTGGGTCCATTAAGAGTTAAGCCCAGTCAAAAGCGGTCCTGCTGGTTTCTGCTGAGATTGGCTGTAAATGGCTGATGATGCTGAGATCTGCTACATCTGCTGAAATCTAGACCGGAGCCGGTCTGTCTATGAAGCAAAGCTGTCGATAGATCGAGACTCGTCTCTCATCTACAGGCTGGTTTCGAGCCTAAGAGCAACTAGAGATAATACCCTGGGGAGGATTCGAACCTCCACCTTCCTCTAAACTTCGCTGCCAGAGTACAAATTGAGGGCGATCCACTTTGATCCACCAGGGCTTTCTAACCCTCATTCGAGCTCGCTATGTATTACTGGATTGGTGTGGGTGTAGTAACAGACCAAAAAAAATAAAAGGAAAAAACATCTTAAGTTATGCCCTGAGGAAGATTCGAACCTCCGTCTTCCCTAGATACATTTGTGAGCAGCATCAAGAATTAGGGACGATCTACATTGATCCACCAGGGATTTACTGCACCTATTCGGATTCTGCACTAATGGCCGACTTTAGAGAGGGTGAGGGAATGGAAAGATGGAAACCAAAAAGGCAAAGAATTCAAATTGAATGCCCTAGGGAGGATTCAAACCTCCGTCTTCCCTAGACTTTTATGGCTAGAACAAATGTCACCAAGAATGAGGGACGATATACATTGATCCACCAGGGCTTCATAACACCTATTCGGATCCTGAACTTATAGGCAATTTTCGAGAAGTGAGGAAACCAAAAAAAATAGAATCGCTGAACGATAATGCCCTAGGGAGGATTCGAACCTCCGCCTTCCTCTAAATTTGCGGAAAATTCCAATGGGACAAGTTGAGGGTGATCGACCTTGATCCACCAGGGCATTCTAACCCTCATTCGAGCTCGCTATGTATTACTGGGTTGGAGTGGGTGCAGTAACACAGTGAAAAAAAGTCGAGCGACAAAGCTATGCCCAGAGAAGGATTTGAACCTCTGTCTTCCCTAGACTTTTTGGTCATGGATGATCTACATTGATCCACCAGGGCTTTATTGCACCTATTCGGATTCTAGATTTATGGGCGACTTCCGAGAGTGTGATGGAATGTAAAGGAAAAATAACCAAAACAGGGAAAACCAGAGAAATAATGTCCCAGGGAGGATTTGAACCTCCACCTTCCTCTAAAGTTGCAGGAGATTTTTCACCGGACAAATTGAGGGTGATCTACCTTGATCTACTTGGGCTTTATAACTTCATCCGAACTCGCGATTTATCACCGAGTTGGAGTAACGTACAAAAAAAAAACCCAGCTTGGACCAAACTATACCCTGAGGAGGATTCGAACCTCCGTCTGCCCTAGACGGCATAAACGAGCATCAAGAATTAGGGACGATCTACATTGATCCACCAGGGCTTCATTGCACCTATTCAGATCGTGAATTTATGATTGACTTTCGAGAGTGTGAGGGAATGGAAAGATGGAAACCAAAAGCAATTAAACCAAAAAGGCAAAGCATTCGATTGGAATGCCCTAGGGAGGATTCGAACCTCCGTCTTCCCTAGACTTTTATGGCTAGAACAAATGTCACCAAGAATGAGGGACGATCTACGTTGATCCACCAGGCCTCGATTCTACCTATTCGGATTCTGGAGTTATGGTCGACTATCGAGAGGGTGAGGGAATGTAAAGGAAAAATAATCAAAAAAGGGAAGGTCAGAGAAATAATGCCCCAGGGAGGATTCGAACCTCCGCCTTCCTCTAAAATTGTACGAGATTTCCAGTGGACAATTTGAGGGTGATCTACCTTGATCCACCAGGGCTTTCACAATCTTATCTGAGCTCTGGATGTATCGCCGAGTTGGTGTGGGTTCAGTACACACCAAAAAAAAAAAAAGCAACTGGTACAACAAACTATACCTTGAGGATTCAAACCTCCATTTTCCCTAGGCACATTTGGGCGAGCATCAAGAATTAGGGACGATCTACATTGATCCACTAGGGCTTTATTGCACCTATTCGGATCGTGAATTTATGATTGACTTTCGAGAGTGTGAGGGAATGGAAAGATGGAAACCAAAAAGGCAAAGCATTCAAATTGAATGCCCTAGGGAGGATTCGAACCTCCATCTTCCCTAGACTTTTGTAGAACGGGATTAAGAATGAGGGATGACCTACCTTAGTCCACCAGGGCTTTCTAACTCTCATCCGAACTCTCGATGTATCATCGAATTGGGGGGGTGTAGTAACTCACGTAGAAAAAAGAGGCATGTGAACACCTGTACACCCTGAGGAGGATTCGAACCTCCATCTTCCCTAGACTTTGTTGTCATATCACACGTTAAGAATTAGGGATAATTTACATTGATCCACCAGGGCTTCATTAAACCTTTTCGCATCGTGGATTATGGCCGACTTCCGAGAGTGTGAGGGAATGTAAAGGAAAAAAATCTAAAAAGGAAAACCGGAGAAATAATGCCCCAGGGAGGATTCGAACCTCCACCTGCCTCTAAAATGTTGCTAAGTTCGGCCATTACATTTAGAGGACGATTTGCATTGATCCACCAGGGCTTTCCCATATCCCTCTTTCTGACCGCTACACGCAAACTCAACACATTCGAAATTGAACATGGCATTGGCAACCGTGAGAAAGATGCGCCGCTCACATGATGCGGTTGATGCCGGTCCGTTCCGGCTGCTCTTCTCCTTTCAGTCCAAGTCGTTCTCAGACGCTCAGTCGTTCTTGCTAGTGCTCCTGCTCCGTGTCTCGCTCTTGGGCCAGGCTGAATCGCACGGGGACTGTTCTCTGCCAGTACTGGAGGTTCTGGAGGACTTTGGATTGGACTGGTGTGGTCCACAAGCAAAAGCTTGGTGACATCGAAGAACGGAACCTCACACCAGCAGGCCAGACCTTGCATATCGATATCGGCCTTGGATATACGGGCCTTTGTCTGTGCCGTGTAAAAAAAACTCGGTGGTCTTAAGCAAAGAAGGAAGTAGTAGGGAGGAGTTTGTGATTGGTCTGCAAGGGTACGTCTGGCGCGTCAATCGAAATCCTAGCCGTCTCATCCGAGTGCATAGTCTCGACCTTTTGATTTGTTTGAAGTATCCAAGCCCCTAACGTGTTTGCTGAAACACCCGTAAAATCTCCAGGTACGCAGCCGCAGCCGCAGGTCACCAATAAAGAAACAACTAGAGCTGATGTACTCGCAGAAATCCCCAACGACAACGACAAGCACAATGACTGAAGACATGCCCCGCGCGCGCTCGCGCTCCCCTTCCAAGTCTCCCGCTCCATTTAGCACCAGCGCCAGCACCCCTGAACTACAACGCAAATCGTCGACTTCCTCGCTGCACTCCCTCACCGGCAGACCTCCTCCTCGGATCTGCACCGCCCGCCCTCCGCCGCCGACCTCAAGCCAAACGCGCACCCCTACCCCATCGCGACCACCGCCACCGCCCTCCTCTCGCGCGCCAACTCCTTGTCCTCGCCCTCGCCCAATCAGACGAGACACCACTACGTCCCGCCCTCCCCATCTGCGTCGGGCGAGTTCCGAGACGGGCGCGATGGCGATAGGGAGAAAGGGGCGGACAAGATGGATAAGGAGACGCGGGAGAAGAGCGAGCGGCGGCGGGCGGAGTACAGGGGGCACCGGTACAGCCGCAGCCTGAGCAGCAGCGAGGACATGTACCTCCCCTCTGCGTCGCCGTCGGCCTCCGCCAAAGGGAAAGACAAGACCGCGAATGGGGAGTACAGCGGGGCCCCTCGGGCCCGCGCGCGCTGCCCGTCCCGCCTGGGGTGAGCGCGAATAGTATTGCGGCGAGGAGCGCGGCGGCGGCGGGGTCGTATTCTAGGTGTGTACATCTTTCGCGTCCACTTCCACCTCTTCTGATGAAAACGAAAACGCAGTTACGCCGCCTCAGGCATCTCCCCAAACGCTGGACGCCCGCGCAGCTCGCCGCGCACCTCGCGCATACGGTGTCTGCCGAGGCGGGCGCGTGGGCGGCACAGAAGAACGTGGGCGGGCGGGCGTTCATCCGGATGGGCATGGATGGGATGGGCGAGGGCGAGGGGGAGCTGGATGGGTGAGTGTCTTTCTTTCTTTCGTCTGGGCTCTTTTACGCGATGGGCTTTTGCTTTGGTCTCCGTCCTCAGCGATGGAGTCTCGGCGGGCGTGTGCTATGACGTCGACGCCCTCTTTGTTTTCTTCGGCGGCGTCCACATGCGCATCTTTTTTCGTTCTTCCTCTGTCATACTTTGCCTTTGTGGTCCTCTTCGTCCCGTCCCATCCACTCCCTCATCGATCCTCCCGATCATCCTTCCGCCGACCGTACGAGATCCCCCATTCATCTATCCACCCACATCCTTCCCGCGATCGTACGAGATCCCCTCTCCCTGTTGTTTCCCTCTTCTATTCATCCATTTCGATACTTTATCCCTTTTATGCAGTCCGCTCTCCATAATTCCTTCATCTCGTTCCCTCATCCCCACCACATTGCCTTGCCCCCCGCGTCCCTCGCCTTCCCCATAATCCATTTAACTTCCTTGCGTCCCTCGTCTTCCCTGCTGTCCGTCCATCCCCCTTCCATTCTATTCCACATTACATGTCCTGCCGCATTGCATTATATTCGCGTACATCTTCTGTCTCTGCGTCTCCTGCTTCCTCCGTCTCCCTTCACTTCTTCCACACTTCGCTTCTCATCCCGCATCCACTTCCTCTACACCTGCATCCCTCCACCTTGTCTTCTGTCCCCCGATTCACCCGCATCCATGTCTTATCCATTCTCCGCCCATTCTCCGCCCTCTGTCTCTACGCACCACATCTTTCCTTCTCCCTCGATCATTTCCGACGAGTCATTGCCAACAACCGCACCTAAATCCACTCGCCCCTCGTACATACTCCCGTTCTACCGCTCCCCTTCCGTCCCGCACCCTCGTCCACTGCTTTTTTCATATCTACGCATCACCCCCTCCTCCTCCATCCGTTCACTCTGCATTCTCCATTGAATACTTCCCCTCGATGCGATCGGACTCGATCGTCCTCTTCCGCATCCACGCATCACCATATCCCTCCTTTCTCCGCTCCCCGCCGCCTGTCTGCTTCTTCCTCCACTCTCGTCCTCTCTCCTTCGTACCTCCTCTATCCCCTGCCGCCCCGCTTCTGCACATGCTCATCTCACCCCGGCCACCACTGTGCGCTTCTTTTCCTCCCTCCCCATTCTCTTTTCTTTTCTCCCCCCTCATCCTTGCTTTTTCTTTCGTTTCCTGTCTTCCACTTCCACTTTTTGCTCTTACCCCGTCGAATGAACGCACGCTGACCCTCCCTCTCTCACTGCAGCGCACCCCCTGCCCTGCGCCCCGCTGCCCGCGCGCTCAGACAAGAAGTCCTCCAGAACCAGCTCGCCTCCTCGCCCATCTCGTCTTCCGACGACGAGGGCGGCAACGGAAACTTCTCCTTCGGCGGGAGGAACGCGTCCCCGACACGGATGGGCAGCGTCTCCCCCTCGCGGCCGCGCGTCTCGGACGTGGAGGAGGAGACGGAGGAGCCCGGGGAAGGGGAAGACGAAGGGACACCATCACATAGGAGACGCACGATGTCCGTGCCCGTCGCCTCGCCCTTCACCTCTACATCCACATCCACGTCGACCTCGCCTTTCGCGCCGCGCAGCTCGCCATTCGCCTCGCGCTCCAACTACGCCAACGCCAACGCCAACGACGGCAGAGAGTCTCGGAGCGCCGAGTCGCCCTCGCCGACGGGCGGCCGCTTCCGCAACGGGCGCGTGCGGGGGATGGTGCGCACGTTCGAGAGCAGCGGGAGCGAGAGCGGGGGCGAGGGTTCGCCTGAACGCGAACGCGAACGCGGCGGGAGCGGGAGCGGGTTCCGCGCCGCTAACGGGAACGGCAGCGGGTTCCGCGCAGCCAATGGCTCCGGGTTCCGTGCGAATGGGAATGGGAGTGGATTCCGCAACGCCAACGGAGCGAGCGAAGAAGGGGACGAGGATGCGATTGGGGGAACGGTGAAGCCGCGCGCGCTCCCCGTGCGCCCTGACGGCCTCGGCAGCCTGGGAGATGCAGATGTGGATTTGGGCGCGACGGTGCGCGCGTGGGACCACGCGTATCCGAATGGCAAAGCTAACGCGGGCTACGGCAACGGGACGTTCGTCCCCGCCGCGAACGGGACCCCCTTTGGACACGCCACAAGCTCAGGCGGAGAAGAGGAGGAGCTGACGGTGGAAGAGCTGATTGCGCGCGAGGACGCGCTGCTCGGCGGTGGCGGGCCGCAGGTGCAGCCGAACTATACCGGCGGGGGCGGCGCGTGGCGGACGGGGCGACGGGGCGCGGGGTTGGAGGCGCAGCTGACGGGCGGGCGGCTGGAGAGCGGGGAGTACTTGACGCAGCAGCGCACCGGCGGGTCCTCCGACTCCTTGATGCAGCAGCGCACCGGTGGGGGTGGGGGGAGGCCGTTGCCTGCGCACCCGGCTTCCTCCTCTTCCTCTTCGCACCCCGCGCATGGGATGAACAGGAGCGGGAGCGGCGGCGTGCACGCGTGGGAGGCGGAGGACGGGGCGGTGGGTGCGACGGTCAAACGCGTTGCTGCGAGCCCCGCGCCGTCTGTATCCCAAGCGCAGGGGGTGAAGAAGGTCTTCGGGGGCGCGGAGGCGGACGTCAACGACGACCTTGCACGAAATCGCCCGACAGAGGCAGAGGCAAGACGCGAACAAGCAAAAGCCGAGGCGGACGCACAAGAACGCGGGCGCGCGCGGGGCGCGGCGGTGCGTGCGCAGCTCGCGGAGGCGGCGGACTTGAGGGCGCTGGTGGATAGGTTCCGCGTGCGGCTGGAGGAGGTGGAGCGGAGGGTGGGGGAGATGGAGGTGGCTGCTACTGCTACCACTTCGAGCGCGCCGACGACTGGGATGCAGAGGGAGCACGAGACGCCGACGTTGGCGCCGACGCAGCTGACGGTCAGCCAGCGCCTCGATCCGCGGCGCCTGCTTGCGCTCTTTGCGTCTGCTCCTGCTGCTGCGCAGCGCACGAACGGGGCGAACGCGAACGCGAATGGGAAGAGGGAAGAGTGGGTGGGCCCGACGACGCTGGGCGCGCTGCCGTCGTACGTGCTGCTCGTGGGGCTGGGGATGTGCGCGGTGGTGCTGCGCGTGTTGGTGAAGCGGGGGCTGGGCGCGGTGAGGGGGAGGGGGGCTGCGTGAGCGGTCCTCGTTCCTTTCTTTGCTCGTCATATGCCCCATGCGTACTTCGCCGCTGTTCTCATGCCCGCTCTGGCTCCTTCGCCGACCACCGTCATGCGCCCTCTTCCCGATAACCGACTCCGTTCCATGCATCCCCGCCCATATGACACCGACACCGATACCCACACCGCTGGCCGATCTGATCTAACGCACATACATATACAACTTATCCTAATCCCTCATCCGGTCCACAAACGCTCACGACCTCGCTATGATATGTTCTCCCCCACCATTCATCTCCACCCATCTATCTCCAATACGCGCCTAGCATATCCCTTTCTCGCCATTACTCGCTTTCCTGATACTACCTGCTCCGCTGATTACGAGTTACAGTACTTACGATTGCTACGAGAGCCACATATAGTCCATATCGACGCATACTATGCACGCGCGTACGACACGATGTTTCCTAGTTGACGACTTCTTACGACCTGCGATGCCCTTTCCTTTCCTTTCCTTTGTTCGTACATATTCTCCTCGTTGCTAGCGAGGGATATACTGCTAGCTATGTCTGGACACCAGATCTACTACGCGATAGTGTTGCTACAGATGAATGTACATACGTTTCTGACGGTATTGTGGATGATTGAGAGAGGGAGTCGCTCCTTTGTAGGCGTGAGTCGTACATGTCGAGAAGTGAAACTGCGCCTCTCGACGTTGTGCAAGGTCGAAGGAGGGGGTGCAGCAGTGCTCCGACTTGAGGCGTCGACGACGAAGGCGCGCAGGAAGGAGTCGGAGCCGTGGTTCTCGTGTGGGCATTAGATAATCAGACACTAGAGCTCCGAGAACAGACATCGTTGTCGAGTGCGTCTGGGGACTGTGGCCGACGCCGAGGTTTATCAGCCTCTTGGGCACGGAGAGAAGCAGAGACGGAAAGTGAATCTAATTAATATTGATTGTGTGCGTGATATTCGAAGGACTGTATGGAGACTGGGTGGAATGTAGTACGGTGTATAGTACCTTGTACTGGAGAGGAGGAGTGGAAAGACGAGACGGGAAGAAAGCAAACGAAAAGATGAAGAACGTAAGAAAAGGAGACGAGACGAGAGTGCGGAGAGGGTCGAGCATGGAAGGTGATGTCAATGTCTGTATGAAGGAGCAATAGAACGCGGGAGGAAGAGGGGAGGAAGAGAGGTGGAGCGGACGATCATGATTTGGGAATATGGAGGAGGAGTCGAAAAGTAAGAGAATGGGGAAGGAGGGATACAGAGTGCCGGAGAAGTGAATTGGGACGCGGTTGGGGTGGGAGAGACAGTGAAGGAATGAAAGGAGCGCGGGAGGAAGAAGGCAGGAGGAAGGAAGCGCTCAGCATAGGCGGAGTATATGGTAGATGGAGGACTGCGAAGAGTAAGGAAGGAGTGGGGAAGTCGATCATGCACGATCGCAGTGAGACAGTATTCCGGGAGAATGGGGTTGAGGAGGAGTGAGGCAGCGTAGGGCGGAGGGACGAGAGGGCGGGAAGGAGTAGCAAGTAGGTGTGTATGATCTTGATGGAGGGAGGTATTGCACGCGAGATGGAGATCGGGAACAGGTAGGATGGGTGTGCAGTGCGAAGGCGAGCGACGAAGGGATGTATGTGAGGGATCATTAACAAGAACGAGGGTCTGCGCGGGAGGAGCACAGGGCCGAGGGTGTGCGTGTATCGGAGGAGTGAACAATGACAGCGGGGAGACGGTAGTAAATATATGTATGAAGGAGCAGGACCGAACGAAGGAACACGGCAGGAAGAAGCCATTGAAGATGAGGGAGCGGAGAATCAGGAATCAGGAATATCGACGGCAAGAGAATGGGGGAGGGAACGGCGCAGGAGGGGATGAGGGCGGAGATGTAGATGCGGTGCGGAAGGGGAATGAGGGTGGGGAACGGTAGACGAAAGACGGAGGGTTGGGGTGGGAGGAGGAGGAGACGATCAAGTCCATTGTCAGTGAGACAGGTGGGGGGCCAATGGAGATATAATCGACCGATCGAGGAGCGGCGAGAAAGATGATAAAAGGAGAGATTAACGAGTAGGCAGACGCGCGGGCGAGGAAAGAATGCATCGGCGGAGATCTAAAGCGTCGAACGCTGGGATGAGAGATGGGCGTGGATCGGTGGAGAGAATGAGGAAGGGGAGGAAATGCCCGAGTGGACATGGATGTGAGACGCGGAGGACTGGGAAGGGAACGGAATGTGGAGGAGACGGACGGCGAGGGGGAACTTGAAGATGGCGACTGGGCGAAGGTGAGGACAGAGAGTTGACGCGCGAGAGGAGGATGTTGGCCGACTACGGCGGAGGGTGTGCGGTATAGCTGTCGGTGTTCCGTTCTTGATGTCACCAAGCTTTTGCTTCTGTGAGACTGTGTGCTACTGGCACACTGGGTTCCAGATCAGTCTACTCCGATAAAAAGTCTTCCAGAACTGGCACAGAACAGCCACCATGCGATTCGTCTGAGAAGAAGCCGGAACGGAACGGTCCGGCATCAACCGTGTCATGTGAACGGCGCATCTTTCTCACGATTTGCGAGGTTCAAATTCGAAACGAACTTGTTTTGAATTTGAGTGTTGCGGAGGGAAATGGGACAGAAAGGTCGGAATATGGGGAAAGGAGGAGAGGAGGGAAGCGCTGGTGGATCAAGGTAGATCACCCCCAAATTGTGTGTCTTTAGCAACATTTTAGAGGCAGGTGGAGGTTCGAATCCTCGCCCAGGGCATTATCTTGAACTATTTTTTATTCTCCCTTTCATTCCCTCACCCTCTCGAAAAGTCGGCCATAAGTGCAAAGTCCAAATAGCTGTGATGAAGCCCTGGTGGATCAATGTGAATCATCCCTAACTCTTGATGCTGCCCCAAAATTGTCTAGGGAAGACGGAGGTTTGAATCCTCCTCAGGGTGTAAATGCGCTCGGTGGGGATTCTTTTTGTGTATTGCTGAGCCCACTCCAATTCGATACATCGAGAGAGAGAGTTGGAAAGCCAGGGTGGATCAAGGTAGATCACCCCCAAATTGTGCGCTCTTCCGCAAGGTTTTAGAGGAATGGAGGTTCGAAATCCTCCCTAGGGCATTACATTCTGGGATGATTCCTTTTATTTCATTTTATCTTGGTTTCCTTATCCTTTCCATTCCCTCACTCTCTCGAAAGTCAGTTGCAAGTCCAGAGTCCAAATAGGTGTTATGAAGCCCTGGTGGATCGATGTAAATCATCCCTAATTCTTGACACATTCACCAAAGGTCTCGGGAAGATGGAGGTTCGAATCCTCCTCAGGGCGTAGCCTGTTGATACTTTGCTTTTTTGGTGTGTACTGAACACACTCCAACTCGGTGATATATCGAGAGCTCAGATCAGAGTTGGGAAGCCCTGGTGGATCAAGGTAGATCACCCCCAAATTATATGCAATCTGTGCAAGGTTTAAGAGGAAGGTGGAGGTTCGAATCCTCCCAAGGGCATCGTCCTCCCTGCTATGGACCTTTTTTATTCTATTTTAATTGGTTACTCTATCCATTCCATTCCCTCACACTCTCGAAAGTTAGTTGCAAGTCCAGAGTCCAAATAGGTGCAATAAAGCCCTGGTGGATCAGCGTAGATCATCCCTAATTCATGATACTGCCAAAAATTGTCTAGGGAATATGGCGGTTCGAATCCTCCTCAGGGCGTAGCCTGTTGATACTTTGCTTTTTTGTTTTTGGTGTGTACTGAACCCACTCCAACTCGGTGATATATCGAGAGCTCAGATCAGAGTTGGGAAGCGCTGGTGGATCACCCTCAAATTGTCCGCTGAGGATCTCCTCTTGCAATTTTAGAGGAGAATGGAGGTTTGAATCCTCCCTAGGGTGTCATATAGCATGCGATGCCTTTTTATTTTACTGTGGTTGCTCTATCCATTTCATTCCCTCACCCTCTCGAAAATCGCCTATAAATCCAGAATCCGAATCGGTGTAATGAAGCCCTGGTGGATCGATGTAGATCATCCCAATTCTTGATGCCTGCGCTTCAGCGAAGTCTAAGGAAGATGGAAGTTCAAATCCTCCTCAGGGCGTGGTTTGTCTGGCCAGTACTTTTTTGCTGTGTTACTGCACCCATGCAACTCGGCACCATTGAGAGCTCGAATGAGGGTTAGAAAGCCCTGGTGGATCAAGGTAGATCACCCCCAAATTATATGCAATCTGTGCAAGGTTTAGAGGAGAATGGAGGTTCGAATCCTCCCTAGGGCATCGTCCTCGCCGCTATGTACCTTTTTTATTCTACTTTATTTTGGTTGCTCTATCCTTTCCATTCCCTCACCCTCTCGGAAGTCGGCCTTAAATCCAGAATCCGAATCGGTGTAATGAAGCCCTGGTGGATCAATGTAGATCATCCCTAATTCTTGATGCTGCTCCATAAGAGTCTAGGGAAGACGGAGGTTCGAATCCTCCTCAGGGTGTAAATGCGCTCGGTGAAGATTTTTTTTTGTGTATTGCTAAGCCCACTCCAATTCGATACATCGAGAACTCGGATGGGAGTTATAAAGCCATGGTGGATCAAGGTAGATCACCCTCAAATTGTTCACTGAAAATCTCCTGCAATTTTAGAGGAAGATATCCTCCCTGGGGCATTATTTCTCTGGCTTTCCCTTTTTTGATTTTCTTATCCATTTCATTCCCTCACCCTCGGTCATAAGTCCAGAATCCGAATAGGTGCAATGAGTCCCTGGTGGATCAATGTAGATCGTCCCTAATTCTTGACACTATTCCGCAAAAGTCTGGGGGAGGTGGAGGTTCGAATCCTCCTCAGGGTATAGTTTGCCGCAGGCCACTTTTTTTTTGGTGCGTTACTCCAACTCGGTGATCCATCAAGAGCTCGGATGAGAGTTAGAAAGCCCTGGTGGATCAAGGTAGATCACCCTCAATTTGTCCGGTGAAAATTCTACTGCAATTTTAGAGGAAGGTGGAGGTTCGAATCCTGCCTAGGGTGTTATCTCTGACTGTCTGTTTTATTATTATTTTTTACTATTATTATTTTGGTTCCCTCTCCCTCTCGAAAATCGCCTATAAATCCAGGATCCGAATAGTTGCATTGAAGCCCTGGTGGATCAATGTAGATCATGCCTAATTCCTGATGCTGGTCCATAAGAGTCTAGGGAAGATGGAGGTTCGAATCCTCCTCAGGGCGTGGGTGCTGTGGACAAATTTTTCTTTTTTTTTGGGGGTGTGTTGCTGAGCCCACATCAACTCGGTGATACATGGAGAGCTCGGATGAGGGTTAGAAAGCCCTGGTGGATCAAGATAGATCACCCCCAAATTACTCATCATCTCTACTACCATTTTGGAGGAAGGTGGAGGTTCGAATCCTCCCTAGGGCATTACACTGGAATGCTTTGTCTTTTTGGTTTAATTGCTTTTGGTTTCCATCTTTCCATTCCTTCACCCTCTCGAAGGACGGCCATAAATCCAGAATCCGAATCGGCGTAATGAATCCCTGGTGGATCAATGCAGATCATCCCTAGTTCTTGAGACTGGCTGTCATAAAACTCTGGGGAAGATGGAGGTTCGAATCCTCCTTAGGGCGTGGAAAAGGTTTCTCTATTTTTTCTTTCTTTCTTTCTTTTTTGAGGGGGAGTGTTAATGAACCCACACCAACTCGGTGATACATCGAGAGCTCGGATGAGAGCCGGGAAGCCCTGGTGGATCAAGTAGATCACCCCCAAATCATTCGTCGTCACGGTTTACCACAATCTTGGAGGAAGCTGGAGGTTCGAACCCTCCCTAGGGCATTATCGCTGTGTGATTTTATTTTATATTCCTCACCTCTCGAAAGCCGGCCTCAGGTTAAGGATCCGAATGGTGTAATGAAGCTCTGGTGGATCAAGGTAGATCATCCCTAATTCTTGACACTTCGGAAGTCTAGGGAAGACGGAGGTTCGAATCTTCCCCGGCGCATTATATTCTGCGATGTCCGTTTTTTGGTTTAATCTTTCGATTTTATTATCCATTTCATTCCCTCACACTCTCGTAAGTCAGCCATAAATCCAAAACCTGAACAGGTGCAGTAAAGCCCTGGTGGATCAACGTAGATCATCCCTAATTCTTGACACTATTCCGCAAAAGTCTGGCGAAGATGGCGGTTCGAATCCTCCTCAGGGCGTCGATGCTGTCGGACAGATTTTTTTGGGGGGGCGGTGTGTTGCTGAGCCCACATCAACTCGGTGATACATCAAGAGCTCGGATGAGAGTTTGAAAAGCCATGGTGGATCAAGGTAGATCACCCTCAAATTATAAGCTATCTGTCCAAGGTTTTAGAGGAGAATGGAGGTTCGAATCCTCCCTAGGGCATCGTCCTCGCTGCTATGTACCTTTTTTATTCTATTTTATTTTGGTTACTCTATCCTTTCCATTCCCTCACCCTCTCGAAAATCGGCCATAAGTCCAGAATCCGAGTAGATGTAATGAAGCCCTGGTGGATCAATATAAATCATCCCTAATTCTTGATACTACCCCAAATTGTCTAGGGAAAATGGAGGTTCAAATCCTCCTCAGGGCGTAGCTTGCTGTACTCTTTTTTTTTTGGGTACGTTACTCCAACTCGGTGATCCATCGAGAGCTCAGATGAGAGCCGGGAAGCCCTGGTGGATCAAGGTAGATCACCCCCAAATTATAATATCTATCCAAGGTTTTAGAGGAGAATGGAGGTTCGAATCCTCCCTGGGGCATTATTTATCTGACTTTCCCTTTTTTGATTATTTTTCCTTTACATTCCCTCACCTCTCGAAAATCGCCTATAAATCCAGAATCTGAATAACTGCATTTACAGCCGATGTCAGTACCGAAGGCGCGAATCAGAAAATTACCGTTTTGGGGGATTTTCTGATGTTCGCGACCGATTTGCCTATATCTCGGTGGGTTCTGCACGTATTGCCTTGGAAATTAGCTAGATAATTCGGGCTAATTCAGCTGCTATTAGTGATAGAGAGAAAGTTGCAAAAATATCCTATACTCAGTGAAATGGGTCTTGGGGTCATTTTGGGAGTCAATTCAGTCTACCAGCATCTAGGCATGTTGAAATGACCTAGATTTTTGGGAGGGAGGATTTCTACGCATCATAAAGGGGGTGATAGATTCAGAATCTTCAAGATATTAGTTTATTGTGCTTGTAATGACATCCAATACCCTGAAATCAGAAAATATAGTAGTATTTGAATCTATCCCCAAGCTCTCGGCAAATGTGACTCTATCACAACATTTATAACACATAGAAATCTGTAAAATAGCTACTCTGACTGACCCTAATAATTATTGATAGACAGCCGCCGGGTTGGATTTAAGGATTCAATTGAGTGGCATGATGAACGGAAGACTGACAGAGTCCTGTTGAGTGGAAATATCTACTTCCCAACTTGTTCTCCGTAATAGATCTAGATGCATCATTCATTCCAAATGTCGGAGAACCCGCCGGTGCCAGAAATCTCCGAGTCGCCAGGTTTGGATTCAATCAGGTTGGCCGAAATGGGCAGGCTCTGCGTTTAAAAGGCAGCAAATCGCTCCATGTCTCCCAGTTCACCAGAAGCTCATAAAACACTTCGTTGAATAAACAAACCCAATAACAATGACGTACCCACTCCTATTTTCTTTTGTCTCCTCCGCGTTACCTGAGAATAGGAGTTCCATTGCCTACGACGGTGTCACTCTCTCCTACGATGGGAGCAAGACTTTGACCATCAGCCCCAAGGTCGGGGGCAGAATCGGCACGCTCAACGGGGGCGACGAAATCGTTCTGGTCCCCAGCAACAACACGTACGAATTCACTCACAACGGGCAAAGGTGAATTACTCGTCGGCCCACGCCAGTGTCACGATCACGGCTGGAGCGAAGCACAGCGGCACCGGGCCGTTCATCGTCAAGACGAGGCTGGGTGACGATTAGATGGGAGGAGGGCTGAAGCTGTACTAGTATGATGATACCGAGACTCCGAGAGCGATTGTGAACGAGTTTAAGATCGATTGTGAATGAGTTTGAGAATTGATTGATATGCGTGCAGTTGGATATGACGCGGATCCGGCAAGCGAATAAAAAGCCTTTGAAAGACCTGCTCAACTATCAATTTCCTTCATCAATAATACTAAACGAAGGGAAGAATAGTTCGTGCGCCTTGTGTGCTGCGAGTTCATATCAATGTAACGGACGTATCCCATTTTGCTGATCTCTGGACACCGAAAATTAGTTTCAACTGACCTCCTTCACAGTTCAGATGTGCATGAAACTCGTTGAGGTCCATCGATTGTTGATGAGGTGCCTCAGCCCCGGCCCCCAGTTGCCTTATGTTGCACTGCATGGACAACAACTGCTGTCTCCGTGTACCGGACTACGCTTATTCAAGTTGGGCGCGGCCAGTGAAGGTGTCCAGGCTCACTGTCATATTTGACTCTTATCAGTTCCAGCTATGGAGACCCTCGACCTGACATTCACAATCTCGATGTAGAGTCTCATCGACTTGAATGCACAATCACAGTTTAATTTGCAGCATATCGAGGCTAATCGAGCTGGTCATTACCCAATCAATTAATGAATTCCTTGTGCCTACTGCACCACTCACATCATGAACATCGAATCTGGCATTCTTCCAGAGTGTTTAGTGGCAGTTCAGAGAAGATTTTCCCATCCCCTCGAATATCCCTTCTTTCAGCGGAGGAAACCGCTATCCCTGTGGATTAGGGCTCTGTTTATAATTCCCTGGGCACTTATAAACAGTTTTTAAATTTTGGTTTATAAACGACGACCCGAATACTGTACCTCCCTGTACTGAAGCAACGCGAGTCTGACCGTGACATTTCCGTTGCTTTTTTCTGAGGCAACGGGAGGCACCGTGACAGTGACGTTGTAGGAAAAGGCAACAGTGGATATATTCTTTGGCCATCTCTGCGCATAAACCGTCGTTTTCTCACATGTAGGGGCTGAAAAATTGAGTTTGGGGGCTATTCAAACACCAGAACCATTTTCCTGACTTACCAGACTTTTTCTTTAAATGTCACGGTAATTTTGTGGCAACCACCCTCATCGTGACCGTGACCTTGTCAATGTTTTGCAACGCAACGACCCCCACCATGACCGTGACTGTTGCTTCAATACAGGGAGGTACAGTACACTGGAAACGGCTCAGAACCGAGGTTTTTGTGCTCCTTTTCAAGTGTTTTAGTGTCCTTGATGTCCAAAATTGTCATGATTTGGGCTCAGACAGCCCTTTTCTTTTCAGTCATACAACTGGCTATTCCCGGGTTATTCACCACAACACATAATCGAAGGATAGGAGCATGTCCAGGTTATACCTTAACAACCCGGGCTCCTATCAAACAGCATACTATTGCCAGGGTTATTCCTTAACAACCCAACCCCCTAGGACTCGAAACGATTTGTCCTCACATTCATATTGGACTCCTCTCTGTGGACAGGTGTCTATCCCCTGGTCCACTCCTATGCGTCCAAATACCCCTTGTCCCTGGACTCCTCAGTGTTAGGAGCTGAACCCTTTATGCCAGGCACACTTAACTCCTCAAACATCAGGAGTCACTCTATCTATTGACTCCTTTATGTTGACCCCTTACTCCTTTATGCTAGCAGCCCCTGCATTAACCCTTTATGACAGGATCATACATGTTCCTATGATCGGACCCCTTTGTATTTACAGTATATAAGTAGCAGTAGAATCTACCTGTACAGTAGATTCTATCTTGTCTATTCTCTGGCCTTACTTTGGCCTTGACTTGACTTGTGTGTGACTTAAGCTGGTCTTGCTTCTGTCCATCTCGTTGTCTCGGGTTCTGTCTCCTCACTGCTGTGGTCATCGACAGACCCCTGACCCCTATACTCGACTCTCTCCATCTACTACTGGTTACCACGACGAGCGGTTCGTCGTCGGAACCTGCTTTCACCAACTTGCGTCCATATGGATTAGCGAGGTAGACTCTGGCCGGTTACCCGGTGGAGGTCTGCATGATTATAGAGCAGTGCGCCCACAACCAACCACCAGTATGGAACACTGGTACTACTGGACTGGAGTTGCGTGTGTCCAAGTACACTATATCGGACACTCCTTGCCTACGGATTCCCACTGCAAGCAACACTGAACAGCAACCCGGAATAACCGGGTCAGACCGGGTTATTGTTGCGTCGACTGCACACTGTTCCCACGGTTCGGGTTCTGGTTCAACTTGCATGGATTCTCGGCAGATGGTCACTCGCTATTCGATGCGGTGACATATCCCTCCTCAACACCTGCGCTGGGACTGGCCACGTTGGGCTACGTCGCAGTCAGGCTGACCTAAGCGCCGTTGCTGACAAAAATGCAGCTGCGTTGCTCCCACAGGGTCGATTTATGAGCCTCGGAACCATTTTCAGGTAAGACAAGCACAATTTTGGTAACGTGTACTGTGTTTTCAGAGGATTTTGAGCCTAATCTGTCAAATTCCATCCACTGTATCCAGGGAAGCAACCTAAATCACACCGAAAATATTGCTGTGCTGTTTTGATGCTGTTCAATATTCAGCAGAATTGGCCTTGCTGAGCACTGCCATCTGAATTAAAAACTGGTTGCTTTGGCCCAGGCATTTAAAAACCGGTTTATAAACACCTGTTTAAAACAATATTTACAAACCAGCTTTATAAACAGAGCCCTACTGTGGATTCTTTCTACATATATAGACTTCAACTTGGGAAGCTCACACTCCGCAAAAAGTCAAGCTTCGGGGCTCCCGAAAACGCTTCTGAAATAATTCACATCAGCAAGTAAAAATATAGTCCTGAAATTGACACCAAAAAGAGTTTCTGAAGAACGAAATGCATGCGCATGCTGAAAGACTCGTTTCAGGATTAGTTTTCAATCACCTGAAATGTCCTGTACCGGGAACCATATTGGCCTTCCAGAAACTGCTGCTGAAATCATGCATTTCAGGAGCAGTTTATTGGTACCTCAAATGAGTAATATAGGCTACAGTTTGGGGTGCCTCCAAAAATATTCTACCTGAAACCCGTCGGCCTGGCCCAGCCCGATCCAGTTTGGGAAACCTGAAAACAATAGTATCGGGAACACCCAAAACTGCGGTAGATACTATTGTTTCCAGGACACAATGAACTGCTCCTGAAACCTTTCGTTTCAGTGACCGTATCAGAGAGGTGGAATGGTACCAGAAACGGGAGCTTTCCTGTCCTTCCCGAAATGACCCGTATATGTTACCATTTTAGCTCAACCAAAACCACAGATTTCAGGTACACATTCAGGTCTACTTATTCTGTTGCTGATATGACCCATTTCAGAAACATTTCTGGCTCCACTGAAACCTTGCTTTTTCCAGAGTGAACTGATGCTTTGCGTGTGAAACATCAGATTCCTGATTTACGCCCTCAAAATCATTTTAACTTTTGGGTTGTCCAGGCACATCGACAATGTCCAAAGTGCACCGGCACATACAGGTAAATCAGAGACACACAATGAGGGTTCTGTGCATGCATGAAATGGGAACATAGGGTCATTTGAGCACTCTATTAAATTCCATGCTAACCGTACTGAGTTCACATAAATATACACTGCTTAGAGCATCTCCTGACAAACTGAGAGAATCAACTGACAGTACAAGTGATACCTATTGGAAAATGAAGGGGATAATTCCTATATTAACTGAGGCTTACAGTCCAGTATTTATACATCCCCAGAGAACAATGG